CGACAATCAATCTTCACTATTCTTTCCAATCTGTTGAGTTTAAACTTTTCAACAGACGTAAAGGACCTTCCTTCCTTGCAGGAACAATTATCACCCTCACTTTGTGGAGCTGGTCCACTGGGCTGGGAAAACTGTGTTGTGGTTACAAATTTGAAAAGTGAAGTGGTGAAAGTAGGTCATTATCTGAATAATTCAAGTACAACAATTTATATTTCCTTCAATTACCTGCATGTTGCATTCAAGCAGTGTTTGCTTTGTGTATGTGTATGTGTGTGTACGGGAGTGTGTATGAGCGTGTGTGCATGTGTGTGTGTGTGTGTGTGTGCATGCGCGCACTTCTGTGTGTTTTGTCTTCCTAATTTTCTAGCTTGTATTCCTATGTTAAACTATCTGAAAAACCTACTTGAATAGCTTAAAACATTGAAAACTTGTTAATGACTGTTCAACTAATTTTAGCACTGATTTAAACTAGTCTAAAATTTGTTTTTTATGTGAGCAGAGTAATAAGAGGCTTAAGGTATTTTATTGACAACATTAAAAAACAAAGCATCATTTAACTAAAGGGCATTTTGAAAAAAAAATGGTAGGGAATATTCTTTCTTTTGACGTTACTAGAACTAGATCAGGCTTATAGCCTGGAACTTGTAATCAGAAGAAATTTTAAAAGGAGGATTCAAAATGCTCTTGTCTTTAGTCTTAAAGACTACCAGACACTTAAAAAAAGCCAAGTTTTTATTCTCCCGGAGATATGAATGGCTAGGTTGTTATCCTGTTATCTTACCATATACATGTTTTCTCCTTATAATGATAGAAATTTATTTTTAAGTCAAAAGTAAGTCAAGAATGAATATAAGAAGGGATTTGTCACTTAGCCCAAACTGTTCTTTTTTGGTTCTTTGGATGTTATTATACAATGTGGAGGTACTTCTAAACCATGTGAACCTAAAGGTTTCCTACAGGCAAATTTGAGAGAAAGAAACATGTACAGATTGCACACCTCCTCAATTTGGGACAATTTGAAGGGAACTCAAGAGAAAATTGTGAATTTCACAATGACAGTGTATTTGCAGATTGTTTCCCTTCCTTATTTCCAGACCCCTTTCTGAATATTTTAAATATTTTTAACACAATAGTGTTCTGAAGCCCAATACTAATCATAAACATTTCATTGTATATTTATACCTATGTTTATCCCAAGTCATTCACTAACTTTTCTTTTTTACAGAAATCAAGAATGAAACTTTATATGTATATAGTTCATAAACTGAGAACAAGCAGACAATTGCAAGATTATGGAGAGATTTCAGAGTGCTTTGTGTCTCAAGAACATTGATCTCATATAGTGAGAAGTATAATAGTTGGAAACCAGTTATAATTCTTCAAGTTTGCAAAGTAAATCACAGAAAGTTCTTGGTTATCGGTAGCTGAGATAAAAATGATTAAGGAATAAGAGGTTTTGTTTGTGTTATTTTCTAGCCCTTTAGGTAAAGAGTGCCCCATTGCTTCCTAGTTGTAGCAAGTATTTTTAATGCAAAGTGGGGTTGTCAATTACCCACCTTTGCTTGCAGAGTGTGATATTTTGCAGAGCAGCAAAAAATATGTCTAGACACTTTTACTGCAGCAATCTATGGCCAGGTAAAAAGACTTGGTGTGAAGGTTCTATGTGGACACTCATATCCCATCATAAGCATTATGTCACTGACTTTTAGATTGGCTCCAATTTCTCGTATGTAGCCTGAAAATACTTTGCCATGGAGGACAAGCATTTTTCCAACTGAAGCCACAAAAACTGTGTTCTTGACAGATTGACAGATCTGACATACAAGTAAGGATAAGACTGCTTGGCACATAAAAAATGAAAGTCTTGTCTCTATCCATTCATAAACAATAAAAAAAAACCTGGCATGAAATATATGTAATCACAGGAAATGGAAAAAAATGATAAGATGTGTATGATTTAAGCTTTATGTGTTATTATAAGGCATGTGTTGGGCAAATTGGGGGCAGTATTGGCTGGGTCCAGAGTAAATTATAATAACACTTTCCTTCTCTGTTCAGTACCTGAGAATCTCTCTCCTCTGATCATTGGTGTTAAGACTTTGTACAAACTGTATTTTCTAGGCTCTGAAGAGGCATTTTTATCTAATTCCATTTATGTGAAATGCCTTCTCATTACCTCTCGGCCTGGATGCAGCTTAAAGGAGAGACAGTCACAGTTGTAAGTATGATCCACAGTGGTAAGAAATTAGAAATCCTTTTCAAAATACAGAACTCTCATTTCTCCAGTTTACAGTATTTCTGAAAGTAAGGAACACAGTAGCACCTTTAGAATACCAGTCACTCAGACAACTTCCCCACCAGCTGCACAAAAACACAAAAACATTTCACAAGTCTAAATGCAAAGCAAGCTGGACAGAGCTGTAAGTGTGCTGGGCCTGTGCAGAACAGTCTTACATCTGTACACCTCACACAAACCCTACTAACCAAGCATACTGGTGAAGGAGAATTCTTCAATTTAAGAGTGATACATTTCCCTCACATTCTTCTTATGCCTCTCTTCTTCCTTCCTCCAAAAGGTAAACTCATACATACTTAATAGGCAAGTCCCTAAGTTCTGCATCTGCATGAGGTACATGCCACCCTCCTGTATTGTGGACTGAAGGCTCATTTCAGGAGTTGAAATTGATAAAGAGAACTTGAACAGGGAATCTTGCAGAGAAACTGACATTAATGTGTTCTAAGGGGATGTTTGAGTTCTTTTTAGTCAGAACCTATTGTGGGTAGATTGCTGTCTGTGCAGGAATGTATTTTACACCTTGTGAGTGAACATCTATTAGACTCTCTTGAGATGAAAGTTTCCCTTCATGGAAAATGAATGATAAACTAGTATGTTTAGATCAGCAGAATGACTGAGGTCAGGGAGAAAGGAATGGTTGGATTCAGAAAACAGGTCATTGGTATGTTTTATATATATGTAAGAGTTGCCAATGATAGCCGAATATTGAGTGGCTTTGAAATAAGAAACATTAATAAAATTTTTAAGGTAAAATTGGACCAAACTTATGTTATAAAAGTGTTCTTGGGTTATTTTTCTTCCAGAATAATTTCACTAGAAAATTCATTTCCCTCCAGAACTTTTTAAAAGACATAACAGGTTGAAATCCTTCGTGTTTAGATTTATAAATTCATATCATATTTAGATATTATAAATTCATAAAGTTGAAAATTATGTTTGAAGAAGACTGACCTTGGGCCACCTTCCATGGGTTCTCAGTGCTTTGGTAGGACATGGAGCAATTCCTTTGGTCATAGTATCACTGCCAGGTGTGGGAGGGTGGTTTATGCATAAGAGACAGAACAAGGATGCTAGAAGGTGAAATTCTCCAGTAGAGTAGAAATTTTATTAAGCCAATAGGTTCAACCTATTTCTCCACAAGTATTTATTGTTATTTTATGTTTTAAGCTGAATTTGCTAGCTAGAACCCAATTGGCTTGTGGCCTATGTAGCAATTATCAAATCAAAAGGCAGGGAGTTGACAAGAAGAAAAGCAATGGGCTTGAATATCTCATACTATATATGGACTCAGTCCTTGAAAACTGGGTGATTTTATCCCAATATATTTGCATTCACTTGATATGAATGATGTTCATAAAATAAACAGATTCATCTAATTTTACTTTTCTAGCCTCTCTATCTGGTCTGCATCCAGTAAATTGTGTGAAATCAGTACTTTTATATATTCTCTCTGTATATTATTTTACCTTTTTTTGCTGAGTAATAATTATATTTATAATAGATAATTAAAATAAAATTTTATGGTTTCCAATAAAATTAATTCAGTTTTCTGGGTGAGAAAGTGGGAAGCACAGAGCTACTGGTACCAAAATTTTAGTACCAAAATTTTAATAATGCCAAAGCATTATTGATGAACTGGTGGGACTTTTTTCCTAAAATGGTGGGAAACTTCTGAAGAATCTTATGAAGTACATACTGGCATCCAGTTATAACAAAGAACTAACATCAAGAAGCAAGTTAGTTTTGTGTTATAAAAATATCAAAAGAGTAATAATTTCAGGGCATTTTTTTCTTTGGGATCTTGCTACATATTCATATTTCAAAGTATAAAATAATTTTTGTTCATCAAAATATATCATTGATGATAGCCATTGCCCTTGTTTTTGCAACTAAGGTTAATTTGACTTGAAAGTTAATATTCCCTAAAATATTTCTAAATTCTATCTACATTTCTTTCACACTCTGGAAAACATTTTCAAGACAAAGTCTTGTAAATGGTATATATCTGTCTTTGCAAGATGAAGTTAATCACTGACCCTGTAATAGCATAACATAAGCAAAACCCATACTCTGGGGTTGTATTTTGGTCTAGTAAGACTCAACCAAGGTAAAATGTTGAACTCCAGCTGAACTAGTCCCAGAACCCAAAGTTAAATGTACTGCTGATTCTCAGTAGTTTGGAATAAAGAAGTAACTGATGTTCAGAGACAATCAACATCATTGAATTCGGCAATATGAGAGTTTTGAAAATCATATTTTTTTCTCAACTGGAAACTTGTGGATGATGCAAATACACCCTTTCCAAGCCTAGGGTGATATTATTTGATAAAGGAATGCTAGGTAACAATGATGGTACCAGAATAAATGAAGCCACAGGAGAGGAAACTGGGTCAAAACTCACTGCAGTTCACACTTGAACTCAGACTGCCTGGGAATGTGGGGCTGAGGTCAAGCATGAGTGTGTCCCAGCAAGCAGTGACTCCACAAGTGTGGGCACTGGTACCTCCAAGGGCTGCAAAGGAAAGTTATAGAAGAGGACTCTTGGCCCAAGAGAGAGCTTCTTGGATATTTGCTTTCATCTTTTACAGATTTCTTGGCAATGATAATTGCTTCCAATATCTGAAAAACCTTCATAAACATCACCACGCTACAGATTCAATAAGGGATTAGCAAGAATATCACTTTAAAACTCATTTAATGTGTGTGTGTGTGTGTGTGAGCACGCATGTGTGTGAGTGTGAAATACATAATAGAAATATTTGCCACGTACTCCTCTACTGCTCATAGGTAATGTATAACTTCAGATAAACTGAGCAGTGTCCTTCCTTCTTACTCCAGTTGGTCACTACTGGTCTGGGGAGGGTGAAAGGTAAAGAGGGAAACCTAGTGCTCTTCACTCATCACTACAGCAACGTTTAGAGATACAGGTATCCAACCCAATAGACCAAGTTGAAGAGCAGGAACGATGTGGGGAAAAAGACCCGGGAATATGAGTCCAGCTCCAAGATGTCTATGTGGATACGCCCTTTCCTCCAAGATCCTGATTTGCATTCTTCATAGCAGCAGAAGAAGCTCTGACAGTCTTTGCCATCCAGACACTCATAGACACAGGTATCTTCAAATTCCTGCCAGTAGACAGAATTGTTTAAAGTGATCATTGCAGGTGGTGGTGGCCTCATGTCGAGGAGAGAATAGTTCTGTAGGCAACAAGAACAACACAAAAATCATCATGAAATGCAATAAGAACAATCTGAGATGAATCAAGCAATAGATGTCTGTCCTTTAGATAAAGAGAATAATGTCATGCTCCTTCCCACACATCCTTGTACTGGACAGTTTGATCTTTGAGAGTTCAGTCTGCCAATTTGATATTTGCAAATTTAATGCAAAAAAGCACGGTGAAGTTTTCAAAACTTGCATAACTCAGACTATTGATGAGGGAGGTTGAGAACATTTTCAGATATGTATTAACAATTTCAAGTCTCTGTTCTGGCTACTTTTCAATTGATTGAGAGTAAATATGTACATATTGCATATAATCCCTTAAATGTTGAGCAGGACACTTCAAATGTGGAGAGATAAATTTGTTATTTCCTAACTAATAAATAGTAAAAACTATGCTATATAAGAATGATGAGAGAATCTTCTTGTTCCATGTAATTTACATTAAAAAAATTAGCTTTCAGTGTGTGGTGGTCAGACACCACTTATCATATCAAGAGTCACAGCCAAAAGTGTGTACAATTGGAATGTTTTATTTTCTGCTTCCCAGGCTTTCCTCCTGATGTGGAAAAGTCAATGGAGAGGAGATGACTTATGTTCATTCATAAATAAGAGAAAGTGGCTTTAAATAGACTTGTCAATTTCTCAGACACTTGTTTGAATTCTTCTAAATAGCTATGAATTATGTATTAAATTGATAATAATTGTATGCCACACATACCAAGGGCCAGTCAGGAGTGTCTTGGTGCAGCCTTCTACCTTCCTCCACAACTCCAGGCAATGAACAGAAACAAAAACTCTGTTGTTCTATAGGCTCTACTGTGGACACATTCTAGGTTAATGATTCTTAACTCAGAGTGGGTATAAAAATCTCTGGGGTGGGGGGTGGTTGCTGAAAAAAAAAAGTAGTCCACTGCATTTGAGGAATCTGCATATTTTTGACAAGGTTCAGTTGGAAAAATCTGCCTTTATTAAATAGTAACTGCATGTATGTTTGGACAGTGTTCAATCAAATAGTCATTTTTCATTTCTTCAACACTTTGTGCTGTGTAGTGACACAGAGATGAGAAGCTGGCCATTATTGGCAGGACAGACCTAAAGGAATATGTTGATGCAGAAAAGGCATCAGAAGTTTCTGAGGGAATGGGAGAAGCTCCCTAGAGATCTAAAGGGTGACTATTTGTAGGCAAATAAGCAGCAAGATTTCTGGGGGCAAGAGAAACCCCTATTTCCCTTCTTCATTTAGCAAACTAAAAACTCATGATTGTTGAAACGTATACGAGCCTGATCTAATAATTAAGAGAGTTCTATTTATATCTTTATAGTTCACTATTTTGAAATAAAACTAATTGCATTTTATAATATTGCAATAAAACTTATATGCTAAGAACCCTAAAAAGCCATATGTTTAATTGTTTCAATACTTTTTTAAATGCATACCTCTCATTTGTCATAAAAGTTTCAAACTGTGTTCAAAATGGGGAATTTAATTAATGAGTCCTCAAGGTCATCTGCAGATAAGTGGGACCTGACTCATTCCTGCTTTGCCTACATGTACAGTGCAGTCCTATGACTTCCCCGGAAATGTTATGCTTCCTGGGTGGCATGTACATATGGAATGGTTAGCCTTGCATTTTACAGGTTAGGAAACTGAGGCACAGAGATGTTCAGATAGCTTGTCCCAAAGTGCACACATGATTGTTAGTGAGGCCTGGCTCCTGTCCCTCATTGCTCAGAGGCTGCCCATCTCTATGGATGTTGGCGGGAACGGCCCTTTAACTAGACTATCCTTGTGGATCTTTCAGAATCGCATTGAAGACATGGACAATTATCATCCAACCTTGGAAAACTCCCTTTTTATTCGGCTGCTTTATGAACTTTTGTTGAAGATCTCTCTGTGTCTTTTCACCTGGCCTAGAGCCCTTTCTCTGTGAATTGTATTTCTATGTACTTTATTCAAGGTCATCACACTTTCCCTCTTTAAAAAAAAAAAAAAAAAACAATTCTTACAGCTTTGTGAAAATTTCTTTTTTCTCTATGGTAAAAAATTCTTTCTTTTGGCAGTATCTTTTCTATACCAAAGATGTCAATATTTCTTCTTCCACTTCCAACCTCCAGGCTGTGTGTGAAATGTGCTTTCTGGGCCTCCGGCTATTTGTTCTGACTTGTCTCTGTTACAACATCCCCACTTCAAACCTTTTCCATTACTTTTCAGTCTGTTACTATTTGGGAGCATTTGCTGGCAAATCTGTATGCTCTGCGGCTTCCCACAGCTGTAAAAGTGGCTTCACCACTCACCTTCTGTCAGAACTAAAATGATACACTTGCAGAGTACAGATAACTAAGTAGTCTTCTTGAAAAAGCATGTTAAAATGCAGTAAACATAAATTACTGATCAGCAGTTAGAAAACCACATATGGGGGGGTGCATAAAACATTCAGTATAATTAGTGAATTGATATGTATAAAGGGATGCAAGTAGTTACATATAAATTTTGTTACATAATAAGAAGGTAGGTCACATCAGATTTTTTAAAACATTTCTCAGTTTTTCAATAGTTAGATTCTTACCTCAAGCCACATATTAAAAATTCATATGCATTAATAAATAAAATAATAATATTGTAAATTGTTGAAACTTAACCAATATTTATAGAGCTTAATTTCTCCATATTTCAGTTTTTTCTTCAGTAGAATGGGCTGTTGTGAGGATAAAATGAATTGGTACATGAAAACACTTAGAACATAGTGTCCAAAAGAATAAGTGCTCAAAAGAAAGTGAGGGGGAATTAATCATTCTGATCAAGAGGCAGAGACCACAAAAGGGAAGTCTGATAGATTTGGCAACAGGAGATTTAAAATGATGCATGTGGAAAAAAGCACAAGAAATGACAGTGACAACATTGTCATAAAAACTGAAATAAAATTATTTAATAAAAAACATATTAATATCCTTAACTATTTGATATGTGACTATATAAGTTTTATGTTATATAAAATACAATATACATAATATATAGTATAAATGGCAGATCGTTACTTTAAAAAGGTTAAAAGACAAAAAAGTTAAAAAAGTTATATAAAAATTTTTCATAAAGTCAAAAGACATAAAAGCAATTCACAAAAACAGAAATGCAAGTAAAAATAAATAAGCAAAATATTCAACTTTATCAATAATCAAAGAAATGCTAAGGGAACAGTTTACAGAAGCCATTTTTTGTTTAGCTCTCAAACCTAATACAGGGAGAATTCTGAGTGGTGGGTGTCCCATACTGCTAATGGAGCCATGCAACCCTTTTGGTCCAGAAATTTTGCTTCTAGGAATTTGTATTAAGTCAATAGTCACAGGTTTATATAAAACTGCAGTGATAAGGTTATGTATCAAAGTGAGAAGGTGTAAATTAGCCCAGTATCCAGCCAAGATTGTCTGTGCATCAATCATGAACATATAATGCAGCCATTGAAATGATCCTATAAAATAATATTTATAAGATAGAAACTTATTCATCATGTATTTTGAGTTAAAAAACAGGAATATAGATGAATATGCTAATCCCTAGGTAGAAGGATGATGATTAATTTTTTTCCTTTATTTTCCAAATTGGATATTTAAAAAAGTATACAAATTTTTGTGGGGTTATGTACCTTGCTCATTGTTCTTCAATACATGCATACAAAAACAGCTAAGATATCATTCAATCTTAGTTTAGTAAGAGTTTTCAGAAATATTTGCACCTTCACTGCTATACATACGGAGGGGGCTTGTAGGCTTATTCGCTCATGAATCCATCTTGAGGAATCTGGATGTAACAACTACAAGAAAAACAGAAAAAAAAATTAGGAAACTTCTGTGGAAATTGGCATCATAGATCACCTTAGTTAAGAGCAATCTTTGAGGTATGATTACATCAATCTATGTCACTGGTAGGTAAAGTTAAAGAGGTGCATTAGGGTCATATTCATATATTCAGAATATTTTGTTTTTTTGACATCTTGTTGAAGTAGCTATTTATAGAACATTGCATAAGATCTAAGGAATAATGATCATTAATTACAAACTCTCCTTCCACTACTTTTTCAGAAAATCTTTGCTACTGGAACTCACCGATGTTTTCTTCTTAGTGGTAGTTGGTTTTCTACAACTTGAATAGTAGTTGAGGGTGGCATACTCCATCAGAGCAGCAAAGACAAATAAGAAGCAAACTGTCACAAAGAGGTCCATGGCAGTCACATAGGACACACGGGGCAAGGAATTTCTGGCAATCGTGCTGAGCGTGGTCATGGTCAGCACTGTGGTGATGCCTGTACAGGGAATAGTTATCAAGTTGTAAAAGGAGCCAGACAAAATTCCTCCACACCAACAGTGTTCTATTTTTAGGTACATCCTTCCTGACATTGCATAAATGTAATAATACTTTGAATTTTAATGTCTATATAATCTTGCAAGCATTTCCATAAAATTTTTGTCATAGTTCATACAATAACATTAAAATACCTGAATTAAGCCAACACCTTTCAGTTTATTCAGAAATTCTCAGTTTCATGTTGTTTTTTAAATATTTTCTAAATAATGATAGTTTGCAGTCCTCCATACATTCTGTCTCACATCTCACACTGTTCTTCTGTCCAGATAAACTGTTTCCTTTCTTACTTTTTCTTTTTGCAATTTTAAACTCCAACCTTTCTTTAGGACCCAGTTGAAGTACTTCTCTTAATGAGGTGGCATTGCTTATAGCAACCCAAAGAGAGTTGATAACATGGGAATCTGCACTACCTTTACCTTCTATGTGCCTGGTTTCTGCATTTGCACAGGGAATTGCATATGTCTTTCTAGTCTTTGTATGTCTGTCTTTCTGAATAAATTGTGTGATCATTACAAGCAAAACTGTATCTTGCTCATCTTTGCTTACTTGTCATCAAGCATTGTGCCTACCACATTTTAGGCATTTCAGTGAATGCTTCATATGGACTATATTGATTCATTGATTAATTAGCTAACTAATGATAGTGTTGGTCTGACTTTGACTATTTTATAAACATAAGTCAATAACAAATATTTAAACAAAGACTGTGGACAAGAATCAAAAAACAGACATATATGTGATGGATGGTTTAAAAGGAAAAGTCAAAAAATGGGCAGAAGACATGAGCAGACACTTCTCCAATGAAGACATACCAATGGCTAGCAGACGTATGAAAAAATGTTCATCATCATTAGCCATCAGAGAAAAATAAAATCAAAACCACATTGAGATACTATCTTACATCAGTTAGAATGACAAAGATTAACAAGGCAAGAAACAACAACTGTTGGAGAGGATGTGGAGAAAGGTGAACCCTCTTACACTGTTGGCGGAAATGCAAGTTGGAACAGCCAACTTGGAAAACAGTGTGGAGATTCCTCAAAAAATTAAAAATAGAGCTACCCTAAGACCCAGCAATTGCACTACTGGGTATTTACCCCAAAGATACAGATGGGATGAAAAGAAGGGTCATATGTACCCCAGTGTTCATAGCAGTAAAGACCATAATCACCAAACTGAGGAAAGAGCCAAGATGCCCTTCAACTGATGAATGAATAAAGAAGTTATGGTCCATATATGCAATAGAATATTATGCCTCTATCAGAAAGGATGAATACCCAACTTTTGTAGCAACATGGCTGGGACTGGAGGAGATTATGCTGAGTGAAATAAGTCAAGCAGAGAGAGTCAATTATCATATGTTTTCACTTACTTGTGGAACATAAGGAATAACATGGAGGACATTAGGAGAAGGAAAGTAAAAGTGAAGGGGGGATTGGAGGGAGAGATAAACCATGAGAGACTGTGGGCTCTGAGAAAGAAACTGAGGGTTTTAGAGGGGAAAGGGGTGGGGGGATGGGTGAGCCTACTGGTGGGTATTAAGGAGGGCATGTATTGCATGGAGCACTGGGTGTTATACTTAAACAATGAATCTTGGAACACTACATCCAAAAATAATGATATATGATGACTAACATAACACAGTAAAAAAAAAAAAAAGGAAGGGAGGTTACTAAGCATTAAGAAGAATGAAATTACTGGATGATTATTACACAAGAGGAGTTAAGACTAATTCTCTTCTAGATGAGTGCCTGCAAAATCAGAAACTGCTAGAGCTGCTGGACAGGGAGGCTAGTGACATGGACTCAGGAATCATAGGAATATTGACATTAACACTCACTACTTTGTGCTTGCATAAAATATCCACCAGGCAATAATACTCCCTGATAGGGTAGATATGATGGATAAGTGCACATTAGTTTCTACCTTTGATGAGCATCACAGCTCCTTTTCAGTGCCTCCCGGCACCTCTTCAGGAGGGTTAGCCAACACCAGATGAAGAATGATGCTAACAGCATAGGGTGGACCACTTAGTCATGTGTAAAAGGATATTGACCAGGAGGTCAAAGCCCTCAGCCTTGCTCTTGGCCTTTGCAGCATTTGGTCATGTAAAGTCATCTACCTTCTTTGAACTTGTTTCTTTAATCAGTACAGTGAAAACAGAATGCCAGGCTCTCTTTTCTATAGATGGGGAAAAAGTGCTGTGTAAACTTGGAAAGTCTACACTGATGATAGATATGTTTTTACAGAAATAATGATTTTCTAATAAAAATCCAATTTAACTTTAAAAAATGTGACCATGTCATGTCTACAGAATATGTAGGTAGGAATTTTTCCACTAAATTCGGGGATTGTTAACCTCAATTTCTTCTCTTTTATTTTTTTTTCTTTAATTATTTATTTTCTTACCATAGCACATACCCTCCCTGATGTCTATCACCCAGGCAACCCATCCCTCCCACCCTCTTCCCCTCCAGAAATCTTCTGTTCCCTGAGAGTAAGAGTCTCTAATGGTTTGTTTCCCTCTCTAGTTTCATCTTGTTGCATTTTTCCCTCCCTTCTCCTGTGATCCTCTGTCTTATTTCTCAAATTCCTCATATCAGTGAGATAATATGATAATTGTCTTTCTCTGACTGACTTATTTCACATAGCATAATACCCTCCAGTTCCATCCACATCATTGTGAATGGCAAGAATTTGATTTCTCAGTTTCTTTTTTCTTTTTTGATGGCTGGAATGTGTATATATACACACACACACACACACACACACACACATGCACACACACATACACATACATACACACCACATCTTCTTTATCTTTTCATCTGTTGTTGGACATCAAGGCTATTTCCATATTTTGGCTATTGTGGACATTGCTGCTATGAACATTCAGGTGCATATGCCCCTTCAGATCACTACTTTTACATCGTTATTGTAAATATGCAGCAGTGCAATTGCTGGGTCATTGGATAGCTTTACTTTCAAATTTTTTAGGAAACTTCATACTGTTTTCCAGAGTGGCTGTACCAGCTTGCTTTCCCACCAACAGTGTAGGAGGGTTCCCCTTTCTCTGAATTCTCGCCAACACCTGTCATTTCCTGACTGGTTAATAATAGCCTTTCTGACTAGTGTGGGGTTATATCTCATTGTGGTTTTAATTTGTATTTCCCTGATGCCAAGTGATGTGGAACACTTTTTCATGTGTCTATTGGACATTTGGATGTCTTCTTTGCAGAAATGTCTGTTCATGTTTTCTGCCCATTTCTTCATTGGATTATTTGTTCTTTGGGAGTTGAGTTTGATAAGTTCTCTATAGATTTTGGATACTAACCCTTTATCTGATATGTCATTTATAAATATCTTCTCCCATTCTGTCAGTTGTCTTTTGGTTTTGTTAACTGTTTCCTTTGTTGTGCAAAAGTTTTTTTATCTTGATGAAGTCCCAATAGTTCATTTTTACCCTTGCTTCCCTTGCCTTTGGTGATGTTTCTAGGAAGAAGTTGCTGTAGCTGAGGTTGAAGAAGGTTTTGCCTGTGTCCTCCTCAAGAATTTTGATAGATTCCTGTCTCACATTGAGGTCTTTCATCCATTTTGAGTCTATTTTTGTGTGTGGTGTAAGAAAATTCTCCAGTTTCATTATTCTGCATGTGGCTTTCAAGTTTTCCCAACACCATTTGTTAAAGAGATTGTCTTTTTCCACTGGACATTCTACCCTGCTTTGTCGAAGATTAGCTTACCATAGAATTGAGGGTCCATTTCTGGACCCTCTGGACTGCTCTCTATTCTGTTCCATTGGTCTATGTGGCTGTCTTTGTGCCAGTATCATACTGTCTTGATGATGACAGCTTTGTAATAGAGCTTGAAGTCTGGAATTGTGATGCCACCAATTTTGGTGTTCTTTTTCAACATTCCTCTGGCTATTCAGCATCTTTTCTGGTTTCATATAAGTTTTAGGATTATTTGTTCCATTTCTTTGAAAAGAGTTAATGGTATTTTGATAGGGATCACACTGAATTTGTAGATTGCTCTAGGTAGTATAGACATTTTCACAGTATTTGCTTTTCCAGTCCATAAGCATGGAATGTTTTTCCATTCCTTTGTGCCTTCCTCAAATTCTTTCATGAGTATTCTATAGTTTTCTGAGTCCAGATTCTTTGCCTCTTTGGTTAGATTTATTCCTAGGTATTTTATGGTTTTGGGTGCAATTGTAAATAGGATCGACTCCTTAATTTCTCTTTCCTCTGTCTTGTTGTTGGTGTATAGAAATGCAACTGATTTCTGTGTATTGATTTTATATCCCAACACTTTACTGAATTCCTGTATGAGTTCTAGCAGTTTTGGAGTGGAGTCCTTTGGGTTTTCCACATAAAGTATGATATCATCTGCAAATAGTGAGAGTTTGACTTCTTTGCCAATTCAGATGTCTTTTATTTCTTTTTGTTGTCTGATTGCTGAGGCTAGGACTTCTAGGGCTATGTTGAATAGCAGTGGTGATAGTGACCATCCCTGTTGTGTTCCTGAGCTTAGGGGAAAAGCTCTCAGTTTTTCCCCATTGAGAATGATATTTGCTGTGTGTTTTTCATTGATGGCTTCTATGATATTGAGGTATGTATCCTCTATCCCTACACTTTGATCAGGAAGGGATGCTGTACTTTGTCAAATGCTTTTTCAGCATCTATGGAGAGTATCATATGGTTCTTGTTCTTTCTTTTATTAATGTGTTGTATCACATTGATTGATTTGCGGATGTTGAACCAACCTTGCAGCTCTGGAATAAATCCCACTTGGTCGTGGTGAATAATCCTTTTAATGTACTGTTTGATCTTATTGGCTAGTATTTTGGTGAGAATTTTTGCATCCATGTCCATCAAGGATATTGGTTTGTAATTCTTTTTGAAGGGTTCTTTGGTTTCGGGATCAAGGTAATGCTGACCT